AAGTATCTTAAAAGTATTCTATGTTCAGGTTCCTGCATCTATAAATAGTAGACTTTTGGAACATCAAAGAATAGGGGTGAAGTTCTTGTATAACTTGTATAAGAACAACCATGGAGGAGTTCTAGGAGATGACATGTAAGTTTCCGTTCTTAACTTTTTTCGAAATAGCTTATTTTGATAGATTCTCTAGATAATATCGCCATTATGCACTTGCCAATCAATTACTTGCTTTTTACATGCCCAATTTTCATAAGATTTTGTGTAGTTTGTCGAGAAGAAAATAATTTTTGGATCATCATCTTCTTATTTTTGGTTATGATTATTAGTATGTTTCTTTCTATATGATTTGAGATGATAATTTACAGCCCGTAGTCCCCAATTTATGGATTGTGGAGCCTTGTTTATATCAATAGTGCCAGATCTTCTCTAAAATCTAATATAGGTTTGTTAAATATATCTTTTGAAATATGCAAAATTACACAAAATTGATTAGTTCTCTGGAGTTTTTATACGCACAAAATTGATATCAATGCATTCTTTTTTCATTATTTCTTTCGTTGCCAATAATACTTCATGCACGATAATTAAGTTAATATCTTTTGTATTTCCTTTTCTGGATTATGCGATGTGCATGGACCAGGGGTTTGGGGAAGACCATTCAATCAATTGCTTTCTTGGCTGCTGTGTATGGGAAAAGTTCCGAGTCTGACTTAATACATCAAAAGGGAAAAGAAATAGAGAAGGGCCCTGTACTAATCATCTGCCCCAGCTCCGTTATTCTTAACTGGGAAAGCGAATTTTCCAAATGGTCCACATTTAAAGTCTCTGTTTACCACGGAGCAAATCGCGATTTAATAATTGACAAACTAAAAGCACGCGGTGTTGAGATTCTCATAACAAGCTTCGACACTTTTCGAATACAAGGAAGCGTTTTGTCGGATATCATGTGGGAGATTGTGATTGTCGACGAGGCGCACAAGCTCAAGAACGAAAAGTCGAAACTTTATTCAGCGTGTCTGAAGATTCGAACAATGAAGCGTTACGGTCTTACAGGTACTATGATGCAGAACAAAATAATGGAATTATTTAATCTATTCGACTGGGTCGTACCGGGTGGATTGGGATCACGCGAACATTTTAGAGAATTTTACGACGAACCTCTCAAGCACGGTCAGAGGTCAACTGCTCCCGAACAATTCGTGAGAGTTGCCGAAGAGCGCAAACAGCACTTAGTGTCGGTTCTGCAGAAATATATGCTTAGAAGGACAAAAGCGGAAACGATAGGGCATCTTATGATGGGGAAGGAAGATAACGTTGTGTTTTGTGCTATGAGCGAGTTTCAAAAACGGGTTTATCAGAGGACACTGCTTTTGCCGGATATCCAATGCCTTGTTAACAAGGACCTTCCATGTAGTTGTGGAAGCCCTCTCAAACAAGTCGAGTGTTGCAAAAGAATAGTTCCGGATGGTTCTATTTGGCCTTATCTTCATAAGGACAATCCGGAAGGTTGTGATTCTTGCCCCTTTTGCTTGGTTCTCCCTTGCTTGGTTAAACTCCAACAGGTATCTGTTTCTAATCGACCTTTTTTCTTTTCTTTTTTTTAAGTAGTTTATTTTTACTTCAAGTTGGATTGGTTAGTCTGTTCACAGTTTACGTCTTCGTCTTGCTGAGAGACAACAAATTGAGAAGAAAATGAAAATGATGTATTGAATTCAGTTGACTCTAGCACTAAATATTACTGTTGCCACTTGCCACTCCTATTGAATTGAAATAAATAAATTTTCTGAATAATGTGTGTGGGAATGATTTAGTATTTCGTAGGGAAAACATTGTTAACTATGGTTGTTACTTGAAGAAGTATTTTCACTATTTAATTGGAAAATGAGATTGATAGAACATATTGAAGAATATGAAATTGTAATTATCTAAAACTGTATTTGATTCTTTCTACAAGATTCCAACATAAGCTCAAATGAAAACTTTTATCAATCAATGACTCAGTATGTATAAAAGCTTATATAGGATATTGAAAAAACCCGAGTTGTAATATGAGGAATCTTACTAATGGCATTTACCTTACGTAGATTGCCACCAAAAATATTTTGAGATTGGTGTTTCCTATATAACCAAGGCCATGATTGGATGGAGAATCAACATCAATGCTCGTGGTGAGTTTGCTTGTATTTAGTGTTGAGATCGAAGAATAACTGGGTTTTTTTTTTTTTTTTTTTGAGTTGGATAAGAACACACTTCAGGACTTTTATAATCCGATGTTTGATCTTCTTTCTTGTACATTTTTCGTATCATACAGTTAAGCAATCACCTGGAGCTTATAAAGCCTAATCCAAAAGATGATCAAGATAAACAAAGAAAAGACGCAGCATTTGCTGCAGCTGTATTTGGTACTGATGTTGATTTAGTTGGAGGTAGTTCCCAGAACGACAGTTTCATGGGCATGAGTGATGTTAAGCACTGTGGGAAAATGCGAGCTTTGGAGAGATTAATGCACTCTTGGATTTCTATGGGTGACAAGATTCTTCTCTTCAGTTATTCAGTCAGGTATTAATTATTATGTCTATAAAAACGTTGATTTATTGAGCTATTTGCTGAGAATGTCTTTTTTGTCACAGAATGCTGGATATACTTGAAAAGTTCATTATACGTAAAGGCTATAGCTTTTCAAGACTTGATGGTTCCACTCCAACTGGTCTGCGTCAATCTCTCGTCGATGACTTCAACTCAAGTCCAAGTAAACAGGTCAATAAATTTTGCACTGTTACCTCTTCTATTTTTTTTAATTTCTTTTTAAAACTGAAGTTGTAAATACAGGTGTTCCTCATTTCAACTAGAGCTGGTGGGCTTGGGCTAAATCTTGTGGGTGCGAACCGGGTTGTAATATTTGACCCGAATTGGAACCCTGCTCAGGATATGCAGGCACAAGACCGGTCATTTAGATTTGGTCAGAAACGGCACGTAACTGTTTTTCGTCTTCTTGCTGCTGGTTCTCTTGAGGAACTTGTTTACACGAGGCAAGTATATAAGCAGCAGCTTTCAAATATTGCTATTTCTGGCACAATGGAAAAACGATATTTTGAAGGTGTACAGGTAAAAGAAGCAATCCTTTTTTATTTCTTTATTTTTTTTTTTTGAAATGCTATCGGAATTTATTACATATTTGTTTTTTTGCAAATGATGTTTGAAGGATTGCAAGGAGTTTAAGGGTGAGCTATTTGGCATCTCTAATTTGTTCCGTGACCTTTCTAACGAGCTCTTCACTAGTGAGATTGTAGAATTCGGCGAGAAGCAAAACCATAGCAATCATTGTGCAAAGCTCGATTTGACTGATTTTGGAATCTCTTTTGATTCTCACGAGAACGAAATAAGTGCTTCTGAACTTAGTGAGCCCAAAGATAAGAGAGAAACAAGAGTGAATCCAATTCTTGAAGATCTAGGTGAGTTTTTTTAAATCAAAATTAGTTTCTTTTATATGTTTACTGAACATAATTAACTTCATCTTTTATTTTGATTTTAATATTTCAGGTGTTGTATATGCTCATCGAAATGACGATATAGTCAACTTTGGATCTCGGATTGTAGAAGGAAAAGCGGTCGAACATTTGAAGGAAGATGAAGAGAGAAAAGAACCAGATAATACAAGCGGTGCAGTTTCAGCGAAGGAGAACTGCGATGATTCATCGAAGAGAAGAAAAACCGAACAATGTAGCCTTCTTGCACTGCTGATGGGTATGGACGAGGTTGAACTAAACAAATTATTACTTTCGGAACCTCCTTCGTAGGGTCAACTTATTTGATATATTGTGTGTGTATAGTGTGTGTATATAATGTCATGGATATTGAGATATACATGTAATGTATATAGTGTAAATGTGTTTCTTATATTTGATTTTTTTTTTTCTTCTAAAATGTAGATATATTTTTCATTTTTGGTATAAGTTACGGCCACCACTGAGTTAATGTCAAATTACGAAAAAAAAAATATTGTTTGAGTAATTACAACCACCTCCCTCAACTATGAATCTTGTCATACGTTTATTCTCACAGTGTCAAATTCAATATAATTTTTATATTTCGTGGAACGTTCTCGAGTTTGTACTTGTTTTGTGTAAAAATGCAATTTCTAATGCGTTACAATCTGATATTAATAAGTCGGGAGATAAATCTTATGATCATCTTGTTCAAAATGTGGAGCCCGACTCGTGAAAACGTATTAAATTGTTAGTTCAATAATTTAATAATTCACTAAAATAATAAAATTTTGCTAGTCCCGATTGTATTAATTTACAGAGATTTAACTGTAATTTGGATTTGAGAAAATATTTTGGCGAAATCAAATAGATGACCCGGCCCAGCCAGATCGATCCACAAGCCCATCACGGGTATCGTAATTACAAGAAGATGTTGAGGGTAGACCAGTCATTTAAGAATCTCAACCGAATAGTATTTTATACCTGCTAGGGTTTGGAATCTGCCTCAATTTCACAACACAGCAGCAGCAGCAGCAGCTTTCTCCCTCTTCACCAATCAAAATCACAGAGCAATGGGAGTATATACGTTCATCTGCAAGGGATCCGGCGCCGATTGGTCGGCTAAGCAGCTTAACGGCGATCTCGAGGCTTCAGCCGGCTCCACCTTCGACCTTCAGCGCAAGCTCGTCCAAGTCGCTCTCTCAGCCGACTCCTCCGGCGCCGTTCAGTCTTCTTTCTCCTATGTCACCCCTTCCTCCGCCGTTTTCCAGGTTTTTCAATTTCTCTTTTTTATTTATTTATTTATTATTATTGCCCTTTGTTTAACTTATTTCGTAAAATTGATGTTCTTAAAGATCTGATTATCAAGGATAGAGTACAAGTGTTGATTGCTGATCTGATTATCATATTTATCATTCTATTTTAGGGGAGAATGTTTGATTTATTATTATTTTATTTTATTTTTTTAACCTAGATATTGAAATTTGAATCTAAAAATTGGATTTGAAGTAAATCTTCAATTCGAAATTTCAATAAAATTTTCATCAAATTTCGAGATGCTGGATGGATTAGTCCTGTTACTTAATTAGTATTGTGCAAACAATGCAGGTGATCGTTGGCGGAAGTGTTGGTGGTGGTTCGTTCGTCGGAGGAGGTGCATCCTCCGCTCCGGCAGCTTCTGGTGGTGGTGGTGCAGCTGCCGAGGCACCTCCGGCAGAGGAGAAGAAGGAAGAGAAAGAGGAGAGTGACGAAGACATGGGATTCTCACTTTTCGATTAGGTTAAATTTAATTGTTTTGGTCTCTTTTTTATAATTAAGTTCTTTTTGCATAGTTCCTCTCTTGCTACCACGCTTTGTTGAACTAAAGTTTCGATAGTATTGGATTATTGGATTACGGGTTTTTTAATTTGAAATTTTCTATGAGGTGCCTCTTTGAATTTGATTTGAATTTGAAATTTTCGGTAGTATTGTTTCTTTGTGATCTTCTTTCTGCCATTACAAGAATCAGATTACACACACACGCCGCACGCAAACGAGGTCAACGGACTAGGTAAATTTAAAGAACTGAGAAATCTTTCACAAAGAATTCGAAGTATAAATAAAGTCACAAACAGACTGAGTTAATAATAAGGCACCCTACAAATTACAGATTGTGCAGAATTAACATTTTTTACCTTGTGCATTTTTCTAAAAAAAAAACTATACATAATTGCAATAATCTACACAAGAATCTCCCAAAACGTCGGGACTTTTGGAAGATACCTCGAAGGCCAATTGGAACTAACATCTTTCAATGTCGGAGGAATCAGTTTTTTTTCTGAAGAATTCGAAAGTCGAAGCAACAACAATAGCTTCTCATGTGTCAATTTCTGGTGGTTTTATTTTCGGAGAAGAGCAATCACATCCGAGATCTGCAAACAAATGTTATTACTTTCTCGCGGTTAAATTTATACAAAGACAGATCATTTAATGAAATAAACGAGAGAAAAAAATATCGAACCTTCTCCATATAGCTGTTCAAATCGGGCGACAATGTGTTTACCGTACGTATATTTCTTTAAAGCGGTGAGATGGTTTCTTATTAGACCGAGCAATACTTCACGCTGATCACTAGAACATTTTTCTAGAATCTTCTGTATGACATAATTTGCATACTGGTCCTTCATCATAACCTACGGTAGTCGAGGAAAAAAGCAGTTTGAAAAATAAAAAATGACTGGTAGCAATATCGATATAAAATTTGTCACATATAAGCTATTAATCATTGCTCACATATAAGCTATTAATCATTAGATTCGAGTTTCGGGACTTACCAATAGATTATCGTTTTTTTCACCATGACCAATAATCTCCTTCAGCAGCATTCCTCGTGTAGTGGAATCACTATACTCGAGACATTTTTCAACAACGTTTGATGCGAACTTATGCTGACTCAGCTGCACTACAGATCCGGCTAGTTTGCGTATTATTTCACTCCTTTCAAGAGGTTTTCCCCTCTCCAACACATGCTGTCAATTGTCAAAAAAAAAAAAAAAAAAAACGCATCGAAATAATTCATTTTAATAACTACACAATTCAAATCAATATTAAGCCAAGACCATATAATATTATAACTACCTGTGTAACATAGTTGCCATACTGATCTTGAGCAAGAGAGCAAACCGAATCCAAAATCTCGTCCACTATGAACTGTGTCAGGATATCATCATTACAACGCTCCAAGATCCTCTATTATCCCAAAAAAAAATATTCAACATCTCAATTTCAATATACATATTAAAAATTATAATTAAATAAAAAAGTGAATATTACCTGTATGACCCTACAGCCGTAAGGATGCATCGAAAGTGAGGCAACTTGGCCATGAAAAGCAGAAAGTACGAAATGAATTCTATCTGTAGGAATACACTCTATGCATTTTTGTATAACATGATTCCCGTTTTGATCACGAACACATCTCAGCACGTGTCCATCCAGCTCTCTAACCAGCCTCGCCTTCTGTTCCACTTCGATTACTTCAAGAGCCTACAAAATCGGAATAATCGATTAAAAAAAAGAACAAGATCCAATTTTTTTCATCAGATATCTTGTATAAAATACTATCGAGGAAAACCCAGATAAAAAGTTATTACCTTTTGAATTACACGACAACCGTACATCTGGAAACTCAAGGGCAGGATTTGACCTTCGAGTTGAGTTGCAAGGTACTTTCTTTGGTCCGGGCTTCCGTATTCGAAAAGCTGAATCACGGTCGTTACATAAAGAACAGTTACAGAAAATGATTATTTTAATTATAGTTGAAAATATAAATTAAATTTGAGACGAACACCTTCTGAATAACGTAGTTTCCGAAAACATCGATTATTAGCTTCGAAGCGTGAGGGACAACTTCCTTAAAAACGGATGCTTTCTCTTCGACACTGCAAGTCTCCAACTTCTGCTGAATGAATCGACTTCCGTGTTGATCGACACTGCAAGTGAAAAATCACAATGAGACACACATCAGATAATTAAGTTCTTTAAGGCTCTGTTTGGATCAAGAAAAATGCCAAGTAAAGTAAAAAGATGAAAACACTAGGTTAAATAGATTTCCTGTTTAGTTAGGTGGTAAATACTAGGTAAAAAAAAATGATTTTTCGACAAAATCAATTTCATCATCATTTTTCTCGGAACCAAACACACTACAGACTTTTAAATTCTTTGTTTTCATTTACTTTTGCATTTTCATTTTTCCTCATCTCAAAATCTACAAATCAACAGAGCCTAAAATAACCAAAAAAAAAAGGGGGTCTGTCGACAGAAAACTAGCCTGAATTCAACAATATGTCCCGTTATATCAGAAAGCTCAAATCTTCGACCTTGACCGGATTTCAACTCATCAAGAAAGGAAATCGGAGTCATGTTATTCCAACTCTGATTTTGCCCATTAGTCTTAATAACGTTCCCACTCGAAGAATGAGGAAGGCCCGTATTATATCTCCCTCCATGATGAATCTGCACCGAAGGGCCCGCATTAGTCGGGCTTCCAAGAAAATAATGACTCGGCATATTCCCTCGTTTGATATTCACACTGTTATTGAAGGCCGCACCACCTAAAAACTCTGCCCTGTTTTTCGAGTCCAGATAATTCACCTGGTTCGCAGGACCACCATAAGAACCACGCACATGCGGTTGAAAATACTGCATATGCACAGGAGGTTGAAACGGAACTCCAACTTGACCGTAAAACTTCATCACATTTTGCGGGTCGTAATTGTTAAAAGCTACAGGCACAGCACTTTGATGGGGGTGGTGATATCCAGGTACATACGAGGGTAAAACGGTCGAGTTATAATTGTATTGCGGGGCAAAGTAACCGGCCGGCGGCTGACTAGGATAGAATGGGGTTGCTGATGTCATATAAGCAGCTGCATTAGCATACAACGGGGGTGCAAATTGGTGTATTGTTTGAACCTCTGCCATCGAAACACTCTGGTTCAAATTACCGTATGGATAAATAATCTGAGATGAGTGAGGGCCCTGAAGTCGAGAAGTAGTGCATTCTTGTGGGGCCGCTTGCTGATGTGGCACGCTGTTTCGAGGGGTAAGATGGTCTTTATTGTTGTAAAGATTGCTCGTCTCTGAATTTGAAGCTGTAAATGCATTGGCACTCTTTACAGCCTCGATATTGGCAGTGTCGACATCTTTTACAGCATCGGAGTCTTTTTTATATTTAGGTGCCAAAGTTACTATTCCCACTTTACCCTCGACCGGTGAGATATTTGTAACAAACTTTTCTTCCGTAGATAAGTGGTAAGAACCTCCCTGCAACGTGATGCTTTTAGTTTAACAACTGCAAAAATTTGTTTAGAAAAAGCATGCAGAAATTCTTTACGTCACGCAATCCAACAAGACCGAAACTTTACAACATTTTCGCAATAACGAGAGTAACAATCAAAGTGGATGAAAAAGGTTAACTTTTTTTCTTTTCTTTCGAGTAATTTCTATCCGAAAATGTGGATATTCGGGGTGCAAAATTCGAATTCACGCAAGTTTAGTGCGAAAAAGGTTGATAGTAAAAACATGCCAAAAGACACTTCTTTCTTCTCCACACGAAACACATTTTTCTTACCTGAATCGATTCGAACGAGCGACTATTATTATAACCCGACAAAGCAGCTTTCTCCACAGAATGAGGCCCGCTCTTTTCAGACGACTGGTCATCTTCAGATTCTTCCTCGTGCGAAGCAAGGCCAGAACCAACACTTGGTTGAAACACAATACGGCTTTCCGACAAGCTGTGGGGCCCACCAAACCTCTGGTCCAGAATCAATTTCCGGTGGGAAAGCATGTTTTCGATGGCCGCCAAAGAACCTTCCATGTTTGGCGGTGCACTTCCGCTCCGGCATGGGATGACGTCATCTTTTTCGAAGCTTTGTTGAAACCTTTGATCTTTAAGGTACAATGGTTCGTATATGTTGGTCGACTGCTTGAGGTTTCGCCATCTCTCTGTGCCTTCGAATATTCTAATGGGGCTTTCGGTTGCCATTGTAATATATACTGATTGTTGTGTTATCTTATTAGGTTAGTGATTTTACACCATATTCTGCAATCTGGAAAAAGAATCCAAGCAAGAAGGTGTTTAAAGTATTATATTTAGGTGAACCGAAACAAAATCAAGGTAGACGAACTAATACCTAATTCAGACGACAATGAATTTTTTTAAACAATTAATAGAGCTCCTTCATTTTCTCGTATTCAAATAACGAGTTAATATACCAGAAAATCATTTTTTCGGTAAGGAATTACCAGAAAAAAAAAAGGGGTATTTGGGCTACAAATGCAACCACCACTTACTAGCTAACTCTATGCATGAGGTCATAGTATATAAAATAATTCTGTCGGTTTCGAAGAATCCATATTGTTCGATTAGAAAAAATAACTTCCTTCTAAGACCTTTCGTTTATAACATGGTGCTGCACACATTGCCGGGGCAAATTCTTTCTTTCTGAAAGTTAGTCCGCAAAAGACATAAGCAATTAAACAAACATACGGTAAATCGGTAATAGAGAATCTATGAAACAATTTACCTTTCGGTCAACCTAGTGGAAATGAAATCGAACAAATGTATTACAAATTCAATTAATCAGCATAAACGGGTCGAAAATCATTTCTGATAGATCCTCTCAAAAATTTTAGAGACTAATCGTGCAATCTTCAACTAATATACGATAGTTAGTCGAACCCTTTTCAGCTAGAAGAAAAATCCCTTAAAAAAAATCAAGAATCAAGCATAAAAAAAAAAAAAAAAAAAAAGCATTAATCCACGCAAGCAACAAAAGTCAACTGGTAAGCAATCAATCAAGAAAACCACAAACAGGATAAAACCCTGGTTAAAGATTCAACCTTTATCGCATTTCATCACCAATTCAGACAACAAACACTACACAGAAACAATCCCTAGGTCAAATAACCGAAAGACCAAAAAAAAACAAAAACCCCCTTTTTTTCTTTTTCCTTTGTTCATACTCGTTAATAGAAAAGAGAGTGGAAAGATTCCAGAAAGAATCTTACCAAGATACTCTGTGCTTACATATCAGTGTTCCCACATCCCCATACAAAGCCACCCTTGATTCTTTCTTCCGCAAGTACAGCCGAAGAATCTTAAAGAAAAAGAGATTATTATTCTTTTGGGGGGTGAAAATGAGACTGAGGGGGGCGGGGTTTGATTGACAAGTGAAGACAGAGAGAAGAACAAACGGGGTTCAGGGATTTTTTGCTAAGTAAAGGCAAAAAATTACTAATTCCAGAAGCTCTCTTGATGTACAGAGCTTTGTCAGTATTTAGACACTTTTTTTTCGAGCAAGTGTTGGCAGAATTTTCTTGATTTTTTTTTTTTTTTTTTTGCCGTAAATGGGCACAAGAGACAATTAATTAATTCACAAAAAAGAAAAAGAACAGTTGGGGATGAAGACATAAATTAGTATACAAATATAATTTGAGATTATTTATGGCTTTGTTTGATTTGATTGAAAAGATTAATTATAATTAATTAGATAATTGGATTTTTTTTTTGAATATTTAGATAGTTCAAATAACATCCATGTCAAAACAAAGAATTCTTTTTGAAATTGCATTGATAATTAGTGAAAATCCCGTTCTTATATTTTTTGGCGAATTTTACTTTATGTTTTTTTGCAAATTCTAGATTAAACTGGACGTAAATCGACTATGAAGTTTGCGTTGATTTATTAATAAACCGACCATAGTTGATTAAAATATTAAAGCATATATTAGACTCAAAAATAATTAATTGGCTATAAAAAAATATATAGTTGATTTATTAATCAACTATAATCGATTATGTAAATTATCACATAACGATACTAAAATCGATGACAAAAAAAAAATGGAGTGTACCGAACAGGTGGGAGAAGTTCTGCTAAATGATGTGTTGGTCTGGGCCGTAGAGGAGAAAGTTGCCGATATAACTTTAATACAATTGAACTCGCGTAATATTTTTCTCCGTAACCAATTTGAATTCGAATCGAACTTCACATTTTATAGAACAAAAACTATGCCCAAATTTAATTCCTTGACTTAACAAACGAGCTCAATAATTTTTTTTAATAATTACCATCGAATCATTTATAAAATCGTTTTGTTTTATTTTTATTTTTAGTAATCTCAATCAGTATACAAATCTAGATTTGGTAATTTTTAAATTAGTATGGTTGTGGATAATGCCAGAGCAAAATTCTAATGCCAGAGCAATCAATATCCCTCGAATCTCCCTTTTGGTGTTGGCTTTCATTGGGCCAAGTCATAATTACTTACATTTATAAGTTTGGACTTAGTCAAATTTTTATGATGGGCTTCGGCCCATACCCAAATTGCAGTTTATTCTTATTCCAAAGGGACTTATTAATATCGAACGATTTTTGGTAAATATAGAACATTTTATTATAATAAAGAAAAATTCAAACATCCATCCAATATGTTCTCGGAACATTTATTTTAGGGTAAATTACAGTTGTTTTATTAAGATAATGTCTATTTACGAAAAAAAATCATCATCTTTTGATAATTACATTCACCCCGCAATTTGTAGATTTTTTATATTAACATCCTTGTATAGGGGTGGATATAAGAAATTTGCAAACTATAGGAGGTTGAATGTAAATTCTAAAAAATAAGGGGTTTTCTTGTAATTATGTGTTACCTCATGAAGGTTGTTGTAATTTACCATTTATTTTATAGTGGAGGTAGAAGCTTCCTTTTCGTCGGTTCTTGCTAGGGAAAAATACAGTTTTCGTCCTTCAAGGTTGCTCTGATTTCACATTTGGTCCCCATGTTAAAAAAAACACATTTGGTCCATTATGTTTCAAAAATTCAACACGTTTAGTCATTTTCGTCAATTTTCCGTTAAAACTAATGGAATCAAGCGTGTTCCATGACTGGCTTAACTAACGGACTAACGGTAAATTGACAGAAATAACCAAAAGTGTTAAATTATTGGAACATGAGGGATCAAATGCATTTTTTTGTGAACATGAAAGACTGAATATGAAATCAATACAAACTTGAGGATGAAAATTGTAATTTTCCCGTTCTTGCTATTATGTTCATGGTTCGTACGCTAGTTACCATGATTCACGCATGAACTATATTTTAATTGTGTTACTAATATTATTTTTCAAGAAATGTTTACAAATACTCGAATTTACTAAATATTTTGCGCGGATCAAAAAGAAAAATAAAATAAAATTCAGAACTCAGATGTGCGATGGTTAATCAGCATATTTCAGGTTCTCAACTCCAATGGAGTTATCAAATGGGTTATTCAAATCTTTAATCACTATTTACATACTCTAAATAAAATCTTTTAACTCTCATGAAGTAATCAAATAGGTTTGTATTTTGATAATTCACTTCTTGAAATATAAAGTACTTGTCGGAAATTAAGTTATATAAAAAATGTAATAACAACCAATCACATGTTGACATGTGAAATTACAAATAAAACCACCATAAACTTACAAATAATAATTAATTTGATAATCCTAGTTGGAGTAGATGACTTTTAAATGAATATTAAAATATTAACTCAAATAAGATCAAAATATTTGTGTGGAGAGCATATAAAAATCTATTACCCATCCGAGCTAATTTGAGCAGGAGGAAGATAACGGCGGAGGTTAATTGTGTTCAATGCGGAGGAGAGGTAGAAGACTTTCGACATTGTTTGGCTATGTATGCATTTGCAAGGCAAGTATGGGCTTTGAGCAATATCCCATGGTCAATACACAGGTGGAATGGATTGGAATTGATGGATTGGTTCATGCATATACGAAATTCGGCAGATCTTGCAGTCCTTGAGAACTGTGTGGTGTTATGTTGGGCACTTTGGTATTATCGTAATAGAATCTTTTTTGAAGGCGATTTGGTCGAACCTATGGACGTCGTCTCTTTTGCGCTAAACTTTGTAAACCAAGTTCGTCATCCCTTTGCCAAAGTACTTAGTCTTAGGAGCTCGAGTTGTATTGAGGAGGTAAGATGGCAGCCACCACCAATGGGTTTTATTATGATCAATTTTGATGCGACTATTAATTCGAAGGAAGGAAAGATTGGACTTGGAATCATTGCTCGAAATCATGTTGGGGTTTGTATGGGATGAAAGTCTATTTGTGTCCGGCAAGCACTCGACCCTACTTCGACGGAAGTAAAAGCAGCTATAGTTGCAGTTGAGTTTGCTCGTGATCAAACATGGAGTATGATAGTCATTGAAGGAGACTCTAGCTTGGTCATTAAGTCAATAAATGAAGTTGATGAAGATTGTTCAGCGTATAGGACTTTAGTGACCGACATTCATGTCCTTGCTAAGGTTTTTGGGACATTCTCAGCTCAGTATGTACGAAGGACTGGTAATCGTGTTGGACATGCACTAGCTAAGCTCTCTATATGCGAGTCATATTTTGGTGGTTTTTTTACCTATTAATGTCCAAAATATTATTAGCCATGAATTAATTTGATGAAATGAAATTGTTTTTACTCTAAAAAAAATATGAACTCAAATATTAATTGAGTATATGATACATCAATTTTATATTAACAATTGGAGTTGCTCTTAAATTCCTTTTTTTTTTTGTTTTTTTTTTACCGAGATATAAATTAATCCCCCACTGATTGATAGTGGCAATGATCAGCAGTAAATGAATTAGGATATCAAGACTTATTGACCTTTGAAGATAGGATTATGGACTTCTTAGTCATGGGATAAGCATAATTATCAACTTTAAATTAGTGGAAATTAATCCCTTTTTCCACCTCTATATACTTTCAAAGTCATGCTAAATCTTCGTTCAAAGTCATGCTAATTGGAAGTGTTTATGTAGGGGCACAGGTAGTGGACAAAAATTGGAAGTTTTGAATTCCGCCATTTCCGATTCGAATATATTCGAATTTTGAACAGTATTTTTCATTCTGATTTCTGAAGTTCTGATCTTCGATTCTTCCGATTTTATTTTGAACGGAATTTGAATGGTATATAAAATCACCGGAAATTCCGAACTGATTTTAGTTCCGAATATTTCTATGGTTTTTCGAAATATATAATATAATTTTATGATATATTTTGTAATCCTATAATAAAACTTATGTATATGAAAAATATAAGTAGCGAAAGGTTAAGTAAATTAAAACCTTAGAAAAGATTAATCGACATCATAAACTTTATGTTGCGTTTTTTCTTATAAGAAAAGCTATGTTTCAATTTGTTGTTCCTACGTGTGATTTTATTTATTGTGTTTTGTCGAACTATCTTTTGAATTTCTTGTATTTTCCTGCAAAATTTCAAAAAAAATACAAATATATTGCGAAAATTTCCACTATATCCGAAATTTCGGAAATTCGGCCGATTCCGAGGCATTCTGAAATTGGAATGAATTTTTGCATTCCAATTTTTTGGTAACGGAAATCGGGACCCATTTTTTATTTCCGAAAAAAATTGAATTTTTTTCAAAGAAAACTACTTTCGATCCATTTCATCCGATTTTCACCCCCTAGAGACAACCTATTTTAGTGGGGGTAGTTTTTAATATTAGGGGCACATTCCCCCACCTTTTCTGGTCCACGACCGGGTGTAAATTACACAAAGCATAAGTTAAAATTATGTGTGAAAAATTCAATCTTTCGAGGATTGATAACTTAACTACGTGATGAGTACTTATAAATACCACCTTTCATTCATCCCATTCTCCACAACAATTACATTCACCCAATAAATTAAATTAAACATAACAATTAATACCACATCACACAAAGCAAAATATGGCAAAGTCTTCCGCTACCAATTTCTTTACTCTCTCCTTCTTCTTTCTCCTCATCATACCATCATACGGTTCCCTCTCTCTCTCTAGATAATGAAAATATGGTAAGGTTAATAATAAAAAATGTAATGTAATGCAGAAATGAAAGCAGGGGAAGCAGCGCTTTGCCAGAAGATGAGCCAGACGTGGTCGCCTGGTCGGGTGCTTGTATGAACACGGGCCACTGCAACCGCCAATGCAAGAACTGGGAAAGGCTGTGCACGGAGCTTGCCACGGTTTTGCCTGCCGTTGCTACTTTAATTGCTAGCTCAATATATACGATTAATCATATATATCTATATATATATGTGTGCGTGTGTGTGTGTGTTATAAAATAAAGGCTGGTTAGCTATA